CATCCCCCCCCCCTCCTCCTCCTCCCCATGATCATTATCATCGTCACCAGCCCTCCTCATCAACAACCTTATCATCGTCATCATCATCATCCTCATCATCACCGCTCGTCATCAAAATCAGCATCATCATCATCATCATTATCATCGTCAGCATCATCACCATTATCATCGATCGCACCATCCCTCTCATCAGAATCACCATCCTCCTTCTTAACATCATCATCATCATCATCATCCTCACCATCTTCCCTTAACATCAATCTCCTCATCCTCCGCAGCAGCAGCATCACCCCTCATCCTCATCATCCCTCATCATCAACATCCGCATCGTCAGCATCATCATCATCATCATTGTCATCATCATCGTCATCATCATCCTCATCATCATCGTCACCATCCCTCGTCATCAACATCACCATCATCATCATCATCATCATCATCATCATCATCATCATCATCATCATCATCCCTGACCCTGACCATCCCTCATCACCAAAAGCCTCATCAGCATCGTCCTTCCCCACCTCCTCATCATCATCCCTCATCATCAACATCCTCCTCCGTCTCCTCCTCATCGTCATCCCTCATCCCCATCATCCCTCAACATCAACATCCTCATCATCATCAGTATCATGATTATCATCATCATCATCATCATCATCATCATCATCATCCTTTTCCTCCTCCTCCCCATCATCGTCATCATCATCAGCAGCATCCTGCTCCTCATCCTGATCATCCTCATCCGCATCAACCTCCTCATCCTCATCACCATCACCATCCTCCTCCTCATCATCCCGCATCATCAACGTCCTCATCATCATCCTCCGCTCTCTCATCACACCTCATCATCATCAACAGCATCATCATCGTCATCAGCATCATCAGCATCATCATCAGCATCAAGATCAGCACCAGCAAGTCATCATCCGCAGCATCATCAGCATCAGCATCATCATGATCCTCATCATCGTCATCATCAGCGTCGTCAGCATCGGCATCATCGCCGTCATCATCATCATCATCAGCATCATCAGCATCATCATCATCACCATCATCATCATCATCCTCATCATCAGCGTCATCCTCATCCTCATCATCATCAGCATCAGCATCAGCATCAGCATCATCCTCAGCCTCAGTATCAACCGCATCATCATCCTCATCATCGTCATCATCAGCAGCACCATTACCAACATCATCATTACCATCAGCATCACCATCAACATCATCGCCATCATCATCAGTGTCGTCATGATCATAATCATCATCACCATCAGCACCAGCATCATCGTAATCAGCATCATCATCGCCAACATCATCATAATCGTCATCAAACTCATCATGAACCTGATCATGATCGTGATGATCATAATAAGAATCCGAATCATCATAATCATCATCCACATCATCATTGTCGTCACCATCATCATCATCATCATCATCATCATCATCATCAACATCATCATCATCATCATCATCATCATCATCATCATCATCATCATCATCATCATCATCATCATCATCATCATCGTGATCATAATCGGCATCGTCATCATCACCATCAACATCATCATCATCACCATCATCATCATCATCATCATTGCAATCACCACCATCATCATCATCGTCATCATAATCCTCGTGATCAACCACCATCAGGAGCATATTCATAGCCATAAGCATGAGCATCAGCACCATCACGTCCAGCATCAAAATCATGCTCATCCTCATCCTCATCATAATCATCCTCATCATCCTCATCCCTGACATCATCAACAGCATCAGCATCAGCATCATCAGCATCATCAGCATCGTCAGCATCACCATGACCATCATCATTACCAACATCAGCCGCACCATCATCGTCGCCATCACAGCCATCATCACCATAATCATGACCAACATCGGCATTAGCACTGGAATGATCACTAGCAGTAGCGTCATCATCATCAGCATCATCATCAATAGCATCATCAGCATCATCATCCTCACAATGATCCACCGTCTCCTCCTCCTCAGTATCATCACCATCACCGTCATGATCATCATAAACATCATCATCGTCGTCATCATCATCACGATCATCATCATCATCATCATCATCACCTTCATCACAATCAATCGCATAACCAGCATCGACATAGTCACCTTCATCAGCATCACCATCACCAGCATCATCATCATCACCAGCATCGTCATCATCATCAATATCAGCGTCATCATCATCATCTTTGTCGTCATCATCATCTCCTCATCATGTTTATCATCATCCTGGTGATCATGATCGTGTTCATTATCATTTCATTACCACCTTATTGATAAACTTCATTAGCAGCAGCAGCATAATCAAAATCACCATAATCATTAGCATCACCATCATCTTCATTCCTGCTCCTCCTCCTCCTTCTCGCCCGGCCCCTCCGGCGTGCCAAAGGCCCTGATCGCCTCCACAACGTTCGCCATGTCCCCCTCAGAGGGCAGCAGGAAGTCGAGCGAACTGAGCCGCCCCAGCAGCGGATGCCGCGTGCGCTTCTCTTGCACCTCCTCCTCCCCCTCCTCCTCCTCCTCCACCTCCTCCTCCTCCTCCTCCTCCTCCTCCCCCTCCTCCTCCCTCCTCCTCCTCCTCTGGCTTGCCAGGCATTGCACGCCGCCTGGCTGTCCGTCCGTCCGTCTGTCTGTCTGTCTTCCCGGCTCTCTGAGCCGCGGCGCTTTGAGCTTCTTAGCTCGGGGACGCGTCGGCCACCGCCGCCCTCTCCCTTGTTGGTGGCCCTGACGAGGTTGGGGGAGAGGGTGCCGAAACGCGTCCAGAGTCCAGCAAGGCATGAGGGTGCAAACCCGACTTGTCTGGCTGATGCTCTGGGGGGCCTGTGCTCAGGGGAGGCTGCAGCACCGCTCAACGATGTGCTGTTTAACCGAACCTGCAGGGTGGGCCCTTTCCCAAATCCGTGCTTCGGTGCGGATCGTAAGCGCGCCTCGTCTCCGTCGTCGTCGTCGTCGGCGTCGTCGGTGTCGTGGTGCGTGTTGCTCTGCTCTGGATTATGTTTCCCTTATGCAGTGACCACCACCACCTCCTCCTCCTCCTCCTCGAACGTCTTCCTCCTCCTCCTCCTCCTCCTCATCCTTCTCCTCCTCCTCGCTGTAATGTCCTCCTGCCTCGTCCTCCTCTTCCTCTCCTCCTCCTCCTCCTCCTCCTCCGACTCCTCCTCCTCCTCGAACCTCCCAATTCCTCCTCCCAGGCATCCGACGATGTGGGGTGCACTCCGCCCGCGGCACCTAGAGATACTCCCCGCCGCCTGCCCCGCCAAACCCCGCCACCACCCAGACGGCCGCCCCCGATCCAATGATGAGAATAACCCCTGATTCTAACATCGCGAAAAATATTCCTCCTCCTCCTCCTCCTCCTCCTCCTCCTCCTTCTCCTCCTCCTCCCCCTACTCCTCCTCCCCCTCCTCCTCCTCCCTCCACTCCCCCTCATCCTCCCTCCACTCCCCCTCATCCTCCCTCCCTCATGCTCCACCTCCTCTACCCTCAGCCCCCACATGCTGGTCAAGCTCCCCCTCCCCTGACCTCCTCATCCTCGTGTTCCCCCTCTCCCCCTCCCGATGATCCTCTCCCCTCCTGGTCCTGCTCCTCCTGCTCCTCCTGCTCCATCTCCAGCTCCAGTTCCTTCTCCGACTACCAAACTAATTCGCCCCTGGACATCTCCAAGGGTACATGTTGACCAGAACTTCGAGACAGAACCAGCCCCAGCGACGAGGACACTCCAAGGGGTCGAAATAGAGCAAAGGACTCCGGAGCAATATCCGATAGTAGAAACTCGAGCCTCGTGCAGCATCGAACGTCGATCCCCGACCCTCGAAACCCGAACAGCCTGCAACCTCGAACCTCGGACCTCTTTCTCGAACCTCGAGCTCCGAACCCGATCCTCTATCAATCGTCCGTCTTCCTCCTCCTCCTCCTCCTCCTCCTCCTCCTCCTCCTCCTCGCTGTAAGTGTCCTCCTGCTCCTCGTCCTCCTTCTCCTCCCCCTCCTCCTCCTCCTCCTCCTCCGACTCCTCCTCCTCCTCGAACCTCCCAATTCCTCCTCCCAGGCATCCGACGATGTGTGGGTGCACTCCGCCCGCGGCACCTAGAGATACTCCCCGCCGCCTGCCCCGCCAAACCCCGCCGCCCACCCAGACGGCCGCCCCCGATCCAATGATGAGAATAACCCCCAATTCTAACATCGCGAAAAATTGTTCCTCCTCCTCCTCCTCCTCCTCCTCCTCCCCCTCCTCTCCTCCCCTCCTCCTCCTCTCCCCCTCCTCCTCCTCCTCTCCTCCTCCTCCTCCTCCTCCTCTCCTCCTCCTCCTCATCCTCTTGCGCCGACTCCGAAGGGGGGACTCGTCGTCGTCGCCGCCACCGCTGCCGTCGAGCATCCGTCCATCTCCTCCTCCTTCTCCTCGTCCTCCTCCTCCTCCTGCTCCTGCTCCTGCTCCTCCTCCTCCTCCTGCTCCTGCTCCTCCTCCTCCTCCTCCTCCTCCTCCTCCTCACCCTTTCCTATCTCGACGAAGGCAGAACTCGCTGGGCGGTCCACTGGGCGATCTGGCAGAAACAAAAACCAGACCGAACTAGAACAGGAGCTGGACCGAACTGGAAACAACAATACGTCGAACCGAACCGAACCCGAAGGCTTACAACACCGACCGAACCGAACCGAACCGAACTGAAGGCACTTCGGAATATAACAAGACCGAACAGATTCGGAACTTTCCTGTCCGTTTCATCTGTACACTCCTCCTGCTCCTCCTCCTCCTCCTCCTCCTCCTCCTCCTCCTCCTCCTCCTCCTCCTCCTCCTCCTCCTCGGGACAAGGGGCCCCACGTACACAGAAGGTCTCGGCCCAGGGCCCCAGGGCCCAGGATCCCAACCCCACCCGAGATCAATGTGGTGGAGACGGGCTTAAACTCTCAGGGTCAATCATATGACAACGCCTCGGACGAGAGGGCAGATGGTGAGGAGAGGTGGGCATGCGATGCGGACGATGAGCACGATGATGACGAGCACGATATGTTAGTCCGTGACCACGAGGATACGTTAGTCCGTGAAGAAACGTCCACAACGCCAACAAAGAGATTTGGCAACGGGCGCAGCGGCCAAAAACAGCGTTCTTCGCAATAAGTAGACAGAGCCCACGGGAAATTGAAGGCTGGTGGAGATCCACTCGAAACTGCAATATGAGTGGCCATTTCACCTATCAGCGGTGGAAGACATACCAGTCTCGCGCAGACCGTAGACAGCAAGCCCTACCGAACCACGCTGCCACAGAAGGAGGAGGAGAGGATACAAATGCACGCCCATACACACAAACGTGCGTATAAGTAAGAACACGTACATACACACTCACGCACAAGCACACATATAGACACACATGCTCTCTCTCTCTCTCTCTCTCTCACTAACACACACACACGAACACATATACAGACACTCACCCACCAATGTACAGACTAAGATACACACATGCATACACACATATCTACATACATACCTATATATATATATATATATATATATATATATATACAAATATACCTATCTACCTACCTACCTACCTACCTACATACATATCTACCTACCTACATACATACATACATGCATGCATGCATGCATGCATGCATGCATACATACATACGCGCGTACAGGCATGCGTACGTACGTACGTACACACATACATACATACATACATACATACATGCATGCATGCATGCATGCATACATACAGACATACATGCATACAACCAAACAAACACACACACACACACACACACACACACACACATCGACTGGCCTTCGGCCCACCCGCTACCGTGCCTGGGCTATGGGGCACGGGCCTCTTGGATATTTGTTGGAGGCTCTCGTGGGCCTGCTGGCGGTCACGCGTTTTCTCTTGGGGCGGAAAGCTCGGACTCTGAAATCGGGTTCCTCATCTTGGCTTTCTCTCTCTCTTTCTTGGGGCTCTCTTGGAACGCTCCTGGGTCGTCTTCGACGACGCGAAAATCGGAACATCCAGCATGGCAAAAATGTACGTGTTCGGCCGGGGATGGGACGAGGCTCGCCTCGTCGGGCCTTCTGTTTGGACCTGATGGTGGCCATCTGGGGGCCTCTGGGGGGCCTCTGTTGGCCCTCATGGGGCTCTCCTGGGGCATGTTGGGGGCCTGCTGGCGGTCTCCAGGGTCCTCGTGGGGCGGAAACCTCTTGGCTCTCTTTTGGGGCCCTATTTGGGCCATCTTTTGGCGCCCTCTTGGCCCTCTTTTGACCCTCTTTTGGGGCCCTCTTGAGGCCCTGTTTTGGGGCCCTCTTGAGGCCCTCTTTGGGGGCCCTCCTGAGGCCCTCTTGGGCCGTCCTGGGCGCCTCTGGGCCCGTCTTGGGACGCTCTTGGGCCGCCTTGGGGACCGTGCTGGGAGACTTTCGGACCGTATTGGGGGAAGCCCGGGGGCCTCGTGGGCCGTCGTGAGCGCTGCGAAACGCGAAAAGTTCAAAATTCTGCGCAAGTGCGCGCATTCCTGAGGGTGTGGGAACTGTTCGCTTCTCGGGGCTGTCTTATGGACCTCGTGAGGGGCCATCTAGGGGCCTCGTTTGGCCCTCTTGGGGCTCTCTTGGGGCCTCTCGGGGGCCTGCTGGCGGTCTCGGGGGTGGAAACCTCGGAATCTGAAATAGAATTCCCAATGTTGGCCCTCTCTCGGGGCCCTCTTGAGGCCCTCTTGAGGCCCTCTTGAGCGCCCCTGGGCCCGCCTTGGGGCGCTCTTGGCCCGCCTTGGGACCGTCCTGGGGTGAGCTCTTGGGCCTCTTGGGTCGTTCTGAACGCAAAGAAGCGCGAAACGTCGAGCATGCTGAAAACGAATGTTGGTCCCACAGGGATGTGACGACGATTGCCTCTCGAGGCCCTGGAATGCTTTGCTGGGACCTCTTGCGGCCACGGAAGGCCGCCTGGGGCCGTCCTGGAGCAGCCTGGAACCCTTCCAGGGCCATCCAAGAGCACTCCGGGAGCCACGGCAACGGCCACGCCAAACCGTGGTCGTGTTCACGGGCTCGCCCGCTGCCTCTTCCGATATATACATATATATATATATACATATTCACAGACATGTATTGATATATATAGATATATATATATACATACATATGTGTGAACCTATGAGTGTGCATGCATCTACACATATATGTATAAATATGTGTATATATGTATATAAACATATATAATTATATATACACACAAGAACAACACGCGCGCTTCGCGCGCGCTCAGGTTCTAGTCAGCCCCAGCCCTTGGCAAGTTCACGTAGTCACTAAAGTAGTTACCTATACATGGGTGGATCATGGGGTAACGCATCTATAACGCGGGCACAACGGATACGAATTGCCGACAAGGACCTGTTTCAATCATATTCAATGCGAAAATATGCACACCATTGACATCAATGATGACCAAAACGGCAGTGCAGCGCAATGCATTGGAA